CATAAATCTTCCTTCTATCTACTCAGCGTGCGTGCAGCTGGCCACAGCAAAACACAATCTTTTCTGCATCGTAGATAGAGTCGTCCCCCTCGTTAGAACCAATTCGGTTAAAAATCGGATGGGAATCTTGATGTTATTTGTGACAACTGTCAAACTTTCCATTTCCGTTCCGCTCCCGCCCATATTGCGTTTAGGCCTTTAATGTCAAACTGAAACCTCACGGTTAAAAAGCATCATGTTCATGTGAAGTGATTTGCTGTTGAATTTGCACTACTTGCCAAACATTTAAATTCGATGTGCAAGGAAGAGATCATATTGAAGCACGATGAAATCAACAGTATATCACTTCATTTTAGATTTTACTGCACATCGTTGTTCATGTGCTGTGATTTGAACTCGAAATGTCAACAATACTGGTATTAACAATCGGTCACTTTAAGTTTAAATAACGTATCCTTGGATTTAATTTGGGTTTTAAATAAATATAAACCCTTGTTCATACTGCAAGCCTTGTTATATGTTATTCAAAATATGACCATAATAAGATATGGTCATATTTTGAATAACATATAACAAGGCTTGCAGTATGATACTCAGATCACATGTTTCCAAGTGATATTGAACAACATCGCAAGGCTTTTAGTAGAAGCAAGACGAGACATTGAGCAATAAATTTGATAAATTTGGCAATGTTTTGTAATCGAACTTATCTGAATAATACACTATTATTGAAAACAGCAGCAATTCCGTATTACCCCCGCTCAAGAGCGCAAATTATTTCGGGTGCAGATGGAGAATTATCGCTTCTCTCACTTGACTTGCCTTCTCCATGAGTAATGTTTGTCATGTGCGTTTTTGACATTTGCTTCCAAAAGCAAAACTAATCAAATTCAATGGATGAAAACAGTGGTGCCGATTCAAATGATAATCATTTTGATTTAGAGGTGTTATACAGTACATATTTTTCAACGACAAATCACTTTGTTTCAAAGTGCAAATAACTTGAAAATCAATGATAAATCACTTCGATTCGTAGTGCTGCATAACATACTTAGTCAAGTGCAAGATCATTTGGATTATGATGTGATAACTTTTTACCGTGTAGTACGCCTGGTGGTGTTAGTGCTGACAACACGTTTTTAAGCTACATTCATGTGTGCTGCATGGTCATATCGCGTTAAAAGTTTTTACCTGTGTAGTAATGCTGCTATCACATCCAAATAAAAAGGAACCTAATTTTTAGGCAACTATAATTCGTGTACAACACAGTAAACAGCGCCTATGGCACAACAAAGATTTAAAAAAAATCCTTCCCGCCACTCACTTATCACGCATGGACAGAGTTTGCTTGCGAATATTTACAGTAGCTGTCAAATGTTGACGTTAAATCGAACCAGAGAACCAGGATTTTTCGGCTTCACTTTGAACTACACAAAGTAAAGGGTGATACGGTCAAAATTTGGTCAAGGGAAAACGCGTGTAAATCGGTGAAATCGTTTATTTAAAAAATCAAATTAAATTTCTTTTTCAAGTTCAATTAGTATAAAATTCAGGAAAAATATTCAGTTAGGCTTCCGCTTTTCCAAATCCGAATTGCCGGGCCTTACGCTTGACCCCTGCCATCAGATTTTGTACAGCCACCTTGTCCACCTTCTTCGCCGCAGAAAGCCAGCTTGCCTTGAACTGCTGCTCGCCCTTAGCAGTTTTTTTGGTCTTCTTTAGGTTCCGCTTGACAATAGCCCAGTATTTCTCAATTGGGCGGAGCTCTGGCGTGTTGGGAGGGTTCTTGTCCTTGGGAACCACCTGCACGTTGTTGGCGGCGTACCACTCCATGGCCTTTTTACCGTCATGGCAAGATGCCAAATCCGGCCAAAACAGTACGGAACAACCGTGTTTCTTCAGGAAAGGCAGCAGACGTTTATTCAAACACTCTTTCACGTAAATTTCTTGGTTGACAGTCCCGGAAGCTATGAAAATGCTGCTTTTCAAGCCACAGGTACAGATGGCTTGCCAAACCAGATATTTCTTTGCGAACTTTGACAGTTTCATGTGCTTGAAAACATCTGCTACCTTTCCCCTTCCTTTTGCCGTATAAAACTCCTGTCCCGGAAGCTGCTTGTAGTCTGCTTTGACGTAGGTTTCGTCGTCCATTACGACGCAGTCAAACTTCGTCAGCATCGTCGTGTACAGCCTCCGGGATCGCGCTTTGGCCGTCGTATTTTGTTTATCATTGCGATTTGGAGTCACTACCTTCTTGTAAGTCGATAGTCCGGCTCGTTTTTTGGCTCGATGCACGGTTGTAGACGATACACCCAGCTTATTTGCGGCATCTCGGAGAGAGAGGTTAGGGTTTCGCTTGAAACTACCGGCAACTCTCTTTGTCATCTCAGCGGCTTCCGGTTTTCGATTTCCCCCCGATCCAGACTTCCTGGCTGTCGACAAACGTTCCCCAAACACTTTAATTACATTTGTAACGGTTGATTTGGCAACTTTTAGCGATTTTGCCAACTTTGCGTGCGAGTAGCTCGGATTTTCGCGATGCGCGAGCAAAATTTTGATACGCTGCTCTTCTTGCTTGGACGGCATTTTGACAACTGAAGAGTGAATTCCAAAATCAAAATAGGAGCAACATTCTACACACACACACACACCTTCAAAATGAGGGGTGTTCAGGTTTTTTAAATGCAAAATTGAAAGAAATACGTCAAGTTGATATTGACCAAATTTTGACCGTATCACCCTTTATATGGGAATGACATTCGTATCTTAGATGTGCTTTTTTGAGACACGTATTGAACTAGCCTAACTTTTGGTGTCTTTGGTGCTTGTTTTAGTTCTTAATTACACAGCAAAAAAATAATTTTGATATCACGTCAAAGTGGATGCACTACAATCATGTCGAAAATATGGTGTAATATTACTTGCTAAAAAGGACAAAATTATCATTAATACAATGCATGAACTGACATTACGCTGCTTTTACTGCATTTGTTTATTTATGTGGTCATAAAAATTACATGAAATTTTCGACATGATTGTAGTGCATCCACTTTGATGTGATATCAAAATTATTTTTTTGCTGTGTATGATTTCATGATAATGTATAACTGGTAAGTTTTGAGCTATTAAATATTGTACACACCAAAAATAGGTCATGGAAAAAACCGTTTCAAAAATAATGGATATCATGTTGACAACATATAGCTAGCTTTGAACCGTCCTGCCTACTGTGTTACCTGACTTATAACGAATATACGTTGTATACGAGTACCCCGAATACAACGTATGACTCGTCTAATTTTGCATACCATTTCCAATGTAAAATTAGACGAAGTATACGTTGTATTTTTGTTGGTCGTATATAACGTATATTCATTATAAGTCAGATAACATAGTAGGCTTCATTTTCAATTGAGCGACATAACATAATGAAGTCAATGTAATTTTAAACAAGGTCTTTTTTTTCAGAAATTTGTCTTTTTTTGAAAATTAAACTGTAGGGTTAACTACCCCATTTCCGGCCTATTAAGCACAACCCGCATTTAGTCTTTCTTACTCCAGCGCAGTTTAGCACCAAACGGAATGGTATTATTACTGATGGCTTTTAAATTTATTTACCTTTCCGTACGTACCGTAAGATTTGATAAAGAGAAACCAATCGTTGAGAAATTGTCAAAAGTCTAACACTGCTTCTTGACGCCAAACTCGGCCTACGGATTCTAAACTCGGCCTAACGCATTGAAACGCCATTCAAAGGCCAATGAATTCACTTCGGCCTATCGGATGAAGATAAAAATGATTCGGTCGGAGCACTTCTTTTGTTTTTGGGAATAATGGGTGCAAATCTTCATATCACGCGTTCTCATTGACTTCGTTCGGTAGCTTATTGACTAAAGTATCGTACCAAACGCATAATTGACTTGTTAACTCTGAAATCATGGATTTATTTGAAGTTTTCTGCTCGATAGGCCCAAAATGGGCGATTAGGCCGAAGTTGTTCTCTACCCTACTAGCATAGGGTTTTCTTTACTGTATTTTAGGCTTAAATAATGATTCAAAGAATCTCTTCAAGCAAAGATAAGAAGGTCGCGAAAGAAGAGAGATGTAACCATTTTGAAAATTTGATTTTCTTGAAATACATTATTCTCCGACCATTTGCGTCTGGTTTAAAGGCACTTAGGCGTTAAAATACTAAATGAAAGTAAAAGAATGAACGTAATTGGACTTATAATCATACATTTCTGATCTCATTCAAAGAGTTGAGAAAGTTAAACTAAAACATTGGATGGAAATCTGTTATCGGAAGCATGGTCATTAATTTTTCATCATTCAAAGATTGTGAATGATAATTAGAACATTGTTTATTATAAGTTGAACTCTCCCCTTCCATGGTAGTACAGGTAATCCACTACTTTTCGATCCGTCTCATCTTTGTCAATCTTCCATCAACTAGTTGGTACTTATTAATGATTCCCCTTGTGCTCGTATGAATTCTTGAGGTTTCAGCTTAATAAATATTGAAAATCAATTAAATTACTATCGACTTTAAACAAGAACTTTTTTGAATTGATTCGATAATTATAGATTGCATGGAACGTTTTTTGTTCTACCACTTTCGTCAAAAACACAGTTTTGCGCCTCAAAACAACGGAAAACTTTCTGGGTTAAGGATTTTACAGACATCTCATGTCTTTTGTGTTTAACTGCATCAGCGTTTTTCCGGCATCATTTCACAGAAACTCAATGATATTCTACATTTTTTTTTTCGTCGGAAGCTGAGATACCGAGCTTCGTCTTATCATTAACATAAAGTTTGTGTGAGCTCGAAAAAAAAAATTAGGAGCTCGATGGTTTGGCCAATTTTTGGTGTGTACATTCTTTACTACATTGTCCTAACATTTTCACAACCATTGTAATGCATGCATGTTAACGGAGACTAACGGCACGTATTCTGGTAACATCACTCATCACCCCTTTTCGCATAACCAACCTCAAAACAGGTGACGACGGTATGGTACAATCCATTCCCGATAATCACTGAAGCAGTCGATGTAGTTGATGGTGCCATGATGATCGCAAGTACTCTCAGCACTAGTACCGGTAGCATCGTTGTAGATACACCCACCGCCGCCTCCATTGGATCGACCAATACTGGTTCCATCGGTACACTCATTGATGAAATCAATACAGCAGCAATGGCTACACTGACGGTAGCTTCCGGTGATCCACTGTCGGACGACGTGAGCGACTCGGCTGATTCAGAGTACCGTTCCCTCGAGACCAAGGACGATGATAGTGATCTGCTCAACTATTGCACTGAGTAGAATGAGTGCGCTTGGCTAACATAGGCATAGGAATGTTTTCGAAATGATTAGTTCGCGTGATATCGTATGTGTAATTTGTTGCTAAGAGTTCAAGATTTACTAATTGAGTGTGCTAGCGAATCATATCAAACATATTTGACTCATAAGCCGTACAGTGGGTTAATTTGAATCAATCGCAAATTACATGCAACCAATAAAATGATTATCATTGACTATTGAAATCCGTTTTTATTTTATTTTTATACTAGATGTTTTATTTTATTCCCATCATAAATTAGTTCACAAAACAGAACATGAAAACTAAAGATCAAAATATTGATAAAATCATCCGAATCGAACAATCGTATCCCAACAGTAGTACAGATCATTTTCTTCATAATACTTAAAAAATTATCTACAAAAGTATCTAACGGGACGTATTTTTCAACTTTAAGGGCTCCCCCTTATCCTTTGGAGGGCTTGTGCTGCATTATTTGATGCTTCCGAAATGTAAGTCCAACTGTTGTGAGTGGTTTGAATTTGCTTTCCTAAATGTAATGATTCTTAACGTCTTTGTCTTTTTCGTATGCGTGGGTGATATGGAAATTTCCGATCAAACAGCCGGCTTCATTTTGTTTGTATCTGACTTCCTTCGAATTTTATAAAATTGTATCCTTATTCTATTCAAAACATGTACGAGAAAGGCACGCGCGAGAATGAATCTGGGCTTTCAATTACATTTAACAGATGGACGTTTTCGTTTTTCATATTAAACTATAAAATTATGTTTACAACATCATTGCATTTATTTTTCATAAGGAATTATGTATAGCATATTTTAACACTATCTTGAAGGTTATTATCATAAGAATGTGGAAATAATTAAAAAAATCCTATAAAAATGTTTAAAAACATAATTTTGAAATCATGACTTAGGCTGTGTTCCATTTGGTGAATTTTCACTTAAATTTGATCGATGGAAATTTTCCTAATTGTACCAGACTTATTTATGACAGACCAGGAATCAATTTTGACAAACACCTTCTTGAAAATAGGAAGATCAACAACAGAGGGATTTTCGAACATCTTAATTTATTTTCGAAGTGTCAAATTTAAGTGAAAATTCCCCAAATGGAACACAGCCTATGGAGCTTATTGCTAAAAGAAGCACGATAATGACCTGAGAGTAGCTACGCAATTGTTGAGTATTTTTGGGAGCATTTTAGCAAAACAGGCACGTTGACCGCTTTCTCTCTACAAGAAGCTTGAACACAAATTTATTTTATAAATGTTTGCCCGTCGCTACGCTACTTTAAATAGGAAATCATTGACAGGACAATAAGTTTGAGTAGCTATGCAGTTATTGAGGTTTTTTCAATGGTTTATTCAGCAATTCCTGAAAAAAAAAGGTGTAGTAACTTGTTCACCTGGTTAGCCTGATTGCCTCTCACCACAAAAGGCCTGGGTTCAATCCCAGTCAGCGTAGCTGGGATTTTCTGAAGCATAAACTCTCTGATCACGCCTAAAGCCGTTGGTCCCCGGTTCATTAGTTGATGTGTCGATAGGTAGGGTCCAGTTATGTGAGCTGCCTCCCTGGCGTCGGTAGCATTGGTGCTCATTAAAGAGCCTGAATTTATAAAGAGGCGACATCTTATCCATTTGACAGGTCTTCTGCTCGATTGGAATGACTTTTCCTATGACTTTGGCAGATAATCGATTGTTCCAATTTTGACATGTCGTCTCTTTATAAATTCAGGCTCTTTAGTGCTCATCACGGAAAACTAGATCGACGGAAAACAAATCAAGGAAAAAATAAAAATCACTTTTTAAGGTAAGTTTTCAAAGTTTTCATGTATGTTCCGAATATAAACAACTAAATAATGATTAAGAGAATGTATGCCTACCTATCGACCCATCAACTCATCAATCGGGGACCAACGGCTTTATTTCCTAGGGCAATATGCACCATAATGATGAGGCAAAATGCACCCAAACAATGGGACAAAATGCACTACAATAATGGGACAATAAGACTCTCCTTGCCATCTTATAAATAATGATGATCAATTCAAGACCAACAATTGAAAGATCTAGCTCTATTCTCAGTCAAAGGAGTAATCTCTTTTACCGACGCTTACTAATATTTGAATCGCTAAAAACTCTTTGGACAAAATTACATTATATCCAATGTAAACTGGTTTTTATTTTTATTGATATTATCTGATAACATTGACCTGCCAAATTGATATACATATATTTAACTTGCACTAAAAGCAAATTTAGAGCGATATAAGTGATTTTTTAAATTCTTCCATAGTGATTCCCTTACAAATTACAAATCATTGGCGTGACCTCTAAACCTTGATCAATCTTTACCAATGTTTACACAGATTCATATTTTTTGGTTATGAATTGAACTAGAGGGTGGCGTATCAGAAATTTATCTCCTTTTTTTCTCAAAATTAAGCACCCTAATGAACATGGTTTCTTGCTCGTATACGCATGCGAGGGTATTTTTTTTGCAGTTTGTGAACACACATTTATACGACCATTTCAGGCGTAACATTTGATAACGGCACAAAAGCATTTGTAAACGAACTTTTTAAGGCCCTTTACACGCGAATCGAAGTACGCTCACGCAAACCAACAACATCATCGGATAGGCGCAACTCTCACCTTTCCGAAAGTGGTATTGGTTTGCGTGGGGGTACTTTAGTTCGCGTGTAAAGGGCCTTAAAAAGTTCGTTTACAAATGCTTTTGTGCCGTTATCAAATGTTACGCCTGATTTAACCAAACTCTTTTGACTGATAGGTGCGCCTTTGTTTCCGTTTTGGACTTTTTTTTTTAATCTCTAGTGAAGTGGACGTATGTTTGGATCCATGTCAATCATACAAGGTCTGGAACAACAGGCAGCTTGCTGGCGTTAGAAACATTGATGTTGTGAACATTGCTGAGCAAGCGAATGACGATGTCACAGTAGCACAACCTTCCATACACAGAAAAAAAAAGTTGTTGAATATTACATCCAAACAGCTGCAGAGAGGTCATTCCGCTGGTTGTGTAATATTACGTTGTACGATGTACATCGATTTTGCGAACAAAATTACATCTATTGATGTAATATTGTATCTGCTTTTTGCTAGTACATCATTATTTCATACATCAACTTGAATTACGTTGATCGATATTACATTTTTTTTGCTGTGTAGTGTGAATGGCAGACGTGTCGTCACAGAAAACAGCTGTTTCGTGTAAAAAGATGAACATTGCGATGAAATACGAACACCACTAAACATTTCCACATTTCACTAATACCAATAAACCAGTTGGGCTAGACCTAGGCGCCTAATACATAGGTGCCACAGTCGGAAGAAGTGTTAGTTTGTTTACCAAAATGGGAGTCTATGGATTTCTCTGTGTCAAAGTATTAGTGCAGAACTTCGTGGTTGCCCCAAAGCATAAGTCCAAGAAAACCGTGTAAATATAGAGCTTGTTGACGTTTAATCGGTGCACACTTCTGCACCATTTAAATAGAACAAGTGCGAGCAAGAGAGGAATAGATTGGTGGGAAAACAAAATGTCCATTCATCACGTCAGAGAAGACTAATTCCAATGTCTACACACGCTTTTTACAAATTACCCGAATTTTAATAGAATCCTCCCATATCGGTCAAAACTAAACCTACTTAAAAATGGTTAAACTATGTTGGGAGTGAGTTGGAGATGCTTAACGGCAAATATCAGGCTTAAAGCGAAGATTATAAATCAAGAACACTGGCAACTGTTTCCTTTTCTCATACAAATGACAAACGTCACTGATAACAGTGCCTCTGTTAATCGAAGGTGGAACTTTGAAGCACAAGTGTTAGTGAGACTGCTTATAAACAGTGACTGTGTGTGTGTGACCTGAAACGAATAATCATAACACGGTACTCGTTGTTGTTTTTGTTTTGATCTACACAATTTCACGGCAATTTGTATCCTAATCCCAGCAAGCCGGTGATTTTCCAACCACAAACTGAAAAACTTGTCAGGGTGGATCAAGTAGAGGATTGCAACTCGGATCGAAACTTATTGAAAGTAACTTTTACTTGTGAACGAGGTACCAATAATTGATAGCTATTTATTTCTACTTATGTGTGTAAATGCACTTGTGAATTAACACACACCATCATACACAGGTTCCACATTGGCTCAGAAGAGGCGTTGCCGTTACTGTCTCCTGATTTTTGGCAGAGTTGCCAGTCTTCTTGATTTGTAGTCTTTGTTTAAAGTGAGATGAAATTATAGATTTAATAGTTACCTTATAGTTAGGTAATGTGAAAATTGTACATAGCAAGTAGAAAGTGAGCAAAGGATAATTTTGAGGAAGGTACTAATCGGGTAGACCAATCGGGTAGATGCATACGTCAGATGTTGAATTGAGTGTGAGTGTGCGTACTTTTTCCGCACTTTGGAGGTACATGAGCAAATCGGCGATCATCCCTTTTGCCAGTGGCGGCTGGAGGAAACACCCTTACCATCCACGGATGAGTTTGGTAAAGGGAATGCTTTATCCGATTTGTACCTTCCTCATAATTTTTCTTTGCTCGCTTTCTACTTTCTATCTACAATTTTCACACTGCCGTACTATATATCTCCTCATCTAGCGTATAAAATGTCCACTTTAATTCTGATATTTGATGTTAGGCATCTCCAACTACGAAAATGATCTATTTCCAAGAATTTTGCTGTTTGTAGAGCAAAGAATGTGAAGAGTGCAATATTATTTTTGTAATAGCTTATTTTAGAGGCAAGTTTAAAGCAAGGGGAATGAGGGGATGTTCATAAACTACGTAGACTTTTTAGGGGGGGGGGTGACAAATACTACGGTCCATACAAATTTCTTAAAAATGTATGGACGATTGTCTACGCGGGGGGGGGCTTTCAAAACCCTCTTAAAATCGGTCTACGTAGATTATGAACATCCCCTGATTCTAAAAACGTTCTAGAGATTATTCTAAAGAAACTCTGTGACTGGTTCTTACCGAATCATATCAAAGATAGTTACCTAAATATATGAAAATTTTAAGATTACGAACGCAGAGTCAAATTATAGATCTTCGACAAAAATTCTATCTTTGTAATAATCTATTTGATTCATACATTTATTTAAATGTATATTACTGTAACATTAAAATATATC